GATGATATTATATAGTCTTCAATACCTCGTTATCGTATCGTTATGTATCGTTTCAAAATAATAACGGGACGCAGATTCTTATGCAACAAAGTTAATTTTTAATAATTCCGTGTATTAAATTATTAAATTTTATTAAACGAAAATTTATTAGATCAAACTGTTTAGCCGTTTTGACATGACTAAGTCCGCCTGTTAAGTATGCTTCACCGTAGCCAAAATCGTATCGTTTCAAAATAAAAACGGGGCGCAGATGTTTATGTAACAATTTTTAATTATTCCGTGTAATATTAAACGAAAATATATTAGTTCAAACTGTTCAGCCAATTTGACAATATTGGTTCCGCCTGTTAGATATGCTTCACCGTCGCCGAAACAGTCGCGAACATTACCTTCGTAACAGTAAACAGTTAAAAACACTAACAGTTGAAATCGAAAAAATATCATAGTTCAATCAGCCGATTTGAATCAATAATGTCAGATGAAGTTTATGATATGAACAACCTTGAATATTATTGTCATAAATATTATTTATACAATACAATCTAATATTTCTAATCTAATCTCTTAATTCTGCTATATTTCAATGTAGATAAATCTAAGTATTTTAATCTTTCACTTTAAGACTTAAGTCAATCCACGACATTCAACAAATTATTTATTAGCCTTTTTTAACCTTTTCAATTCTTTCAGTCAATCCAATTTGCCATGGTAGCCAAACAGAGGAAGCATATCCCAACTTAGATCTTACCACATTTTTATATAATGATGCAAATGACAATCTATCTAAACCAGTCCCCATTAAACCTAATACTTGATAACATTTTCTAACAACAATTCATCAAGATCCTTTACTTTACAAATTCTGTTTTGTTTAGGATTTAGGTCATTGTTATTAATTTTATAATCGATTGAAGAAATGATATTATTACCCAATGACATTATAATATATAGAGCTGCAGAAAATGCCAGCTCAAGTCAGAATGACGAGAAAATACAACAAAGAATTTGTAAGTGTGCTGCTCAAAGATGTGTTTTAGATGGGCTACAGAAGAAGATGTTGAAAAACTGATCAGAATAGGACGGAAAGACAAGAAAGGCAACCCAAAAACCAAGTTTACTGGTAGATTTCAAGATTTTTACAAGATTGTCTGAAAAATGCAAAAGACAAATTCACGAAAATTTGTTGAATATATAGCATGCTTATTTCAGAAAGAGACTGGCGTATAGATACAGGATGGCAATATGTGGTAAGAAGTCATCCTAGTATAACAAAGGTCATAAAGCTGAAAGTCCTAAATTAATCAGCAATACAGAATATGCAGAGGATAGTCAAAAAAGCGAAAAAAAATTTGAAATTCTATACAAAAATGCGGACGGTCTGCTGAGCAAGAGGATAGAATTATACAGTCTACTATCTACATTAAAAGTTAAACAAAAAGTTATAGCGATAACAGGTTCAACTAAAAAGTTTCAAATGCATTGTGATTCCAAGATAATTTAATTTACATAAATGGCTGCAAGCTGTTTGCAAATAATTTTAAAAAGGAATCTTAATATATATTAGTGAGTGTAAGGGTTCGTTCTTTAACTTTTATTATTAATTCAACTTCGCAACAAGAACAAGTACGTTGTAACAATTTCTCTATTACAACGTTAAATACAGTTTGTAATGTAAGGCAATTAACAATAATTAATAACCGACGTTATGAGTCAATATCTCTAATTAATTAATTAAACAACGTTATGAGTCAATATCTCTAATTAATTATAACGTTTTAGAGTCAATATCTCTGTATATATATATATATATATATATATATATATATATATATATATATATAAAATTCACAATTCGTCGGTTCACGAATTTACCACTTCACGAATTCGCCAATTTTTCCTTCTGTTCGCAAATTCGCCAATTAGCCTGTTCCAGCACTAATTCTGATATCACACGTAATATTACAAAGTTCACGTCTCACGTAAAATACTTCCGATAACTCTTGCGACGATAATAATTCCTGAACTGAAATTCTGAGCCTGTTGACTGTACCTTCCCAGCGCTTTTATAGACGTTTTGCCGCTATCACTCCCATGGTCAGAAATTGCGACAAGTTATTAATAACTCACGCAAACTGAGTTATTAATAATTATTTGACCTTGAAGGACAGTTAAAATATTTTTAACCAACTTTTTTTTTAAACACTTTTTAACTTGCAATCACCACGGCCACGAGATATTATTCCTTGTTTTTTGGTTATAGAATTAAATCGTATAGCACTACACTGAACCCTGACAAGTGAGTAACTGCCAACTTTCCATGTGTTTATACAGCATGAATTTAAAGATATTGTGATTGTTGTAACTAAAAGAAGTTATTCGAACAAAGACATAATATTCGCTGTTGTGTACAGGTGTCTTAACTGTGATATAGAAAAGGAATAAAAATTTTGTGAAGTACCTGACTGCATCAAGCAAAAGACTGGATATAAACTTTTTCTAGAGGACTCCAATACAGAGTAAAGCTAGTGGGGGAAAAACAGAAGGGACTGCTGCCAGAAAAAATTTGTTTATCTACTTTGAAGGAAAACTTTCTATTAAAGTATGTGACAAAAGCGTCAAGTCAGGGTAAATCAAAACCTGATGATAAAAGATGAAGAGTTAATTGATGACATTGATTATTTGTTTATCTACTTTGAAAGAAAACTTTCTATTAAAGTATGTGACAAAAGCGTCAAGTCAGGGTAAATCAAAACCTGATGATAAAAGATGAAGAGTTAATTGATGACATTGATTATTGGATTCTTCTGGGTAAAGATAATTCAAGTTATATTAGGGATTGAATGCAATTTTTGTTACAAGTCGATTCGGAACTGAAGTATAATTTCAACAAAGCAAACTGCTGAGTTATTCAAATTTCTTGACATATATTGTTATAGAATTTCTGCTAATAAAACATATGAAGTAAATGAACACTGTTGAGGAGGAATTTAGAAAAATGCATCAAAATTTACACACCTAGAATGAGTAAATGGAAAATTAAAAATAAAGAATAACGAACATTGAGCAACAATAACACGACTGCGTAAATTATGGAATAATTGACGACGAACAAAGTAGAGTCTGAGAATCAACATAAAATCAAAACGACCTCGTTAAAAAGTTACCTAGCCAATTGGAACAATATGAACTAAGGTCTATTAAAAAAAAAAAAAAGAATTAAAAAGTATTTTTTGAAATTAATACGATATGGCATGTGGAATTGTAGACCTGAAAATTAAAAATACGACCAATGGTGACACTGTAGTAATAGAAGACCAATACAAAGCATCCGTTTTGGCACTATTTTTCAGAAGTGTTTGCTCTGGAACCCAGAGACATAATAGTTTATGTCTAATGTTGAATGTAAATTGCAAATGAAATAATTGCAATAAAAGAAACTGAAACCGCCAAAAAGTTGAAACTCGACAAATCTTCACGGCCAGATCAACTATACTCAAGTTTCATATGAAGTAAGAGAAAGGATCTCCAAACCGCTAAAGGTTTCTCTAATGGCTCATTATAATCTTGTGAACTTCCGGATAAATGGAAATATGAAATTGCGGCCATATTTGCTTTTCTGATTTGCATCAATGATTTACCTGAAAGAATTGGTATATACGCTTTGCTTATTTGAGTCTATGCACAGATGATGCAAAATTTTATAAACAAAACCAACGATGCGGCTTACAGCAGGCCGCAGATGGAATGAAAAATTGGTGCAATAAATGGTTGCCAAAATAAAATATTTCGAAATGCAAGATTTCGTCAATACATTGTACCAAGAATGTACCAACTCGATGCCGCTTGACCGATTTAGCTTGGCCATCAGCTGGGACTATCATTTTATTCTCATAAATGATAATTCCAAGTTATTTGAGCCGATCTACTTATTTAATTATATTTTCATATTTTTCTTCTGTTTTTGGAACTTTTATTCTAGCTGCTCTTGACGTTGTACAAATGTATGGTGAGAAGTCATCTGGAATATGCGCAATCTTTCTGGTTGCCAAATTAAAAACGGAAAATCGAACTAGGAAGGTACAAAATCGAGAAGGTACAAAAAAGAGTCACTAAAATCCCAACATCCTGAAAGGTAAGGCATACGAATAAAGGCATGGAAGAGTTTAACATTAAAGTACAGACATCTAAGAGGAGATATGATTGAGGGGTTTGTGATAAAGATGCAGTTCCTAACCTGGAAAGGTAATAATTTTCAAAAACTCGAGGCAATACAAGAATAACAAAAAATAGAAAAAGAGCCGTATTCGTAAGACATTTTTTTGTGAAAGAGGGGCGGAGATTACAAATATCGCAAAGATAATAATCAAATAATAAATATTATAGCCCAATTTGATCATTCCGTCGGTTATAATAATATGTTTAAATTATGTAGCAGGTGCTAAAACAGATGGGACTATGACAATTAATTGAACAATTTAAAAAAAAACTAAACTGTTTGGCAAAGTATTTTTTCTGCTATTCATGCAATTGATGTTTATGAAATGAGTAATAAACGAGAGAAGGTACTGAAAATGAATGTAGATAAATAATAATGAATATTAGAATGTTACTCATAATTTTATATACGTGTATAGAAATACCATTTTTACAATCCACTAGCGCAGATATCCACTTTTATAAATGTATTTGGTGAGTTTTTTAAAATAATTTAACCGCATGACATGCATAGATTTGTTTTTTCATGCTTATATGCTTATGCATATTAGACAGGGAAGTATACTTTTATGCTTGGTGGGCATTGAAATGTACTTTTATGTATCTTTCTTTAACCTTGGTGGCCATGAAAATATACTTTCATGCACTTTTTTAACATTAGTTTGCACTAAAATTTATTTTTATACAATTTTTCAACATTAGTTAGCATGAAACTATTTTAATTTATGTACCTTAAACGTATAACGAAACCACCGTTTTTTTACTTCAAGAAGATATAATAGGAAATGTTTGTTCAAATTCCATGTTACAAGCATATCTGTGAAAGGGGAGATAAAAATCGCTACACCGTTAGTCAAGTTACCTCACTTTTGTTTGTTGATCCTTATTTTGCTAATCCTAATTTGAATTTCCGTTGTTTTATTTATAAAACTATTAATTAAAGTCTGAGAGGAATAGAGGAGAAAGTTGGACAAGGATTTATTCAGAACAACATTAGCTGTCAAATTGGCTTCACAGATCATGCTAATATGTAAGCAATCAATCTTCGTTTAGCGTCCAGAGACCCAATTCCTCCGAGATAGGACGTTGTTTTTTTTGCCATCAATTTTTTGCGCCAAATTAGACGATCAGTATCTATTTTATTTAAATTTAGAGCTTTCATGTCTTGCTCGATTGTTTGCGACCAGGACTTCGTTGGACGGCCTTTGGGACGTGTGCCAGGTACTTTAACATCTGCAAGAGAAGTTATGGCACTGTTTCTACTTAGTTTGACATGACCAAACCACCTCAGACGTTGTTGCCGGCATTCGTCCTTTATATCATCTAAACCAGCACGACGCAGGATTTCGGTAGATTTGATGTGGTCCTTCAGACTAATTCGTTGCATCCATCGGAGCATTTTCATATCGGTTCGTTGAAGTTGTTGTTACAGTTTGGTTGTCATTGGCCATGTTTCTGCACCATATAACAACACCGGACGTATCATAAATTTATAAAGTCTTGATCGTATTGGTAGTGGGATGTCAAGATGGCAAGGAGATGCCATTTATTCCAGGCTGCACGTATGCGTGCTCGAACGGCAGCTTTAGCTGTTCCGGTACAATCCAGAACATCCCCTAGATATTGAAGCGATGTGACTTTCTCTACCTTAATGGCTTCAAAAACATTGCTATTTTGAATTTGTGTTGTGGATTGATGCAAGCAGGACAAACAAAATTGGTTTTTTTAGATAAAGTACCAATTATTTTTGAACAACGTTTGTGACACCACTGGTTAAACTGCTGACACTTGATTGAATTGTTACCTACACCAGCTTTACAAATTGAACAGGGCCATCGTCCAGTAGCTGTGGATTGGATGGGTTCACCAGTGTTCATTGCTTTGGTTTTGCTGATGTTGACTTTGAATCCATGATCGGCGAGTCTGGTGTTCCAATCTTCAAACATATCTGCTGCATTCTGCTCAGACGTGGCTGTTAAAACGATATCATCAGCATATAATAGATTCCAAATGTCACCAGTGCGTATCGGTTTTCTGATTTCTTCCATCACAGTTATAAATAACAGTGGACTGAGAATCGGGCCTTGGTGAACTCCAACGCCGATGTCAAATCCAACCGTTGTGCTGACGAGAGTCTTAGTATTCATATACATTTCCATCATAAGTCGAACAAGATATTCTGGAATGAGTTGTCGACGTAGACTCCACCTGATTGTTTCACGGGGAACTCGATCAACTGCTTTTTCAAGTTCTACAAAAATGTGTGATAGTTGTTGATGCTTTGCGAGGTACTTTTCTTGCAGTTGCCAAAGGATGTGAATTGCATCAATTGTTGATTTTTCGCTAGTAAACCAAATTGATAATTTCCGATTGTGATGCACGACGTTAATCTTCTCTCAATGATTTTTTCGACAATTTTCAGGGAGTGTTCTAACAGACGTATACCCCGATATGATGAGCAGTTCGATGGATCACCTTTGCTTTTGTATAGCAGAACTGTCATGCTATAGTTCCATTCTGTCGGCATTGAGCAATTTCTCACCACTTCACGACAAAATTGTAATAACGTTTGGATACCCAATATGTGATATGGCTTGTAAAAAAAATTTATAAAAAAATGGATGAAAAATCGATCGAGAGGGATAGAAAAAAGTTTATATTGATTTTTCAGAATAGTATTATCTTCAAATCATCTAAAAAGTGAATTTGAAATATTTTCGCGATGAATAACTAAAGTTTTCTGAGTTATTCAACACTTTTAACAAGCTTATTAAAAAACAAGACGAATGTTTTATTCAGATAAAATCAATTAAAGAAAGCAACGACAACATAATGCGTGAATTGAATCAATTCAAAACTCCCCTTGATTTAAGCCGAAAATATTAAGCAAAATATCAAACGCTGATGATTTGCTCGACAAATCTATTAGCAACTTAAAAAATGAACTCAGCACGACTTGGTCCAGTACTGTCAAGAAAAATATTGATGCTGTATCCAATGAAGTAAAAACTGTTAAAAATACGATAGACACAGTTAATGATGATAAGGAATGTGAAAACAACATTGTTTTATTTAATTTGTCTGAAAGTGAAACCGTTGCAAAAGACAGAGATGTTGCTATGTCTCTTTTAAAGTTCTGGCAATTTCAAGACAATGAAAAAAAAGCGACAATATTTGTCCACCTGTCATCGTCAGGTTGAGTGACGCTACATTCAAATTGTTGATTTTGAGAATGTCTTTTAAAATAAAGTCACTCGACGGTGAATTAAATAAAGTTAAAATTAGCCATGATTTTACTCCAGAGCAACGTACTGAGGTCAATTCACTGGTGTCTGAGCTAAAACCAAGGAGACTGGTAGTGAGAATTTTTGTTCAGGGTCAGAGGTCCAATCGGACGTTGGAAAATCATCAAGCTACCCAAAAACGCCACAAATTAGTTTTTAATTTTGCGTTGTTTAGTATAAGGTCTATTACGTCAAAATTAGACATTATTTATAATTTTTTGTTTGAGGATTTAGACATTTTTGTTATCACAAAGTCATGGCATGGTTCACTGGGGGTTGATACTGTTCGTTTAGCCATGCCACCTATTTATTCATACGTTGATTTTATTAGACCTAGTGATCCTAACCATGGTGGTATAATTATTATTTTTTTTTCAATTTGAAAAAATTTAAACTTCCCCAATTCCCCAACATTTTTTCAAGATATTATTCCTGTGCGTATTTTCAAGCAATTTGTTCATACCGTTTCTCACATTTTTTATCAATTTTTGTTTTGACACTGGTTATTTTTCTAAGGCGTTAAAACATTCCTTTGTGACTCCCTTATTAAAAAGTTATCTCTTGATAAGGATAATATTGCAAATTATCGCCCGATTTCTAACCTCTTGTTTTTATCAAAAGTCGTTGAACGTTTAGTTCTACAACAATTTTTAAATCATTTGAATGTGCATGGTTTAATTCCAATCCATGATTCTGGTTACAGGCAGTATCACTCTATTGAAACTGCTCTGATCAATATTTCTTCTAAATTGTTTGCATCTATGGATTCAGAAAATGTTTCACTTTTGGCATTGTTAGATATGAGCGCTGCGTTTGACTGCGTCGAACAATCACTCCTTGTTCATAAACTAAAATGTTGTTTTGGTGTTGCCGGTGCGGTTGCTTCATGGCTCGAGTCCTATTTGATTGGTAGAATGCAACAGGTTTGTTTCAATAATTTTCTGTTCAATGTCTGTTCTGTTCAAAGTTGTTATTTCCGGTGTGCCCCAAGGTTCTTTTTTAGGACCTCTTTTGTTTATATTGTACACGGCCGATGTTTTTCCTATTATTGAAAAAAATGGTTTCAGATACCATGCCTTTGCGGATGATTTGCAAATAATTGGTTGTGGTAAAACAGACCTGGGTTTTGATGCTATGGTTGATAGATTTTTATGTTGTTTTAATGAATTAAGTGAATGGATGGTAAATAATAAACTAATACTAAACGAAAACAAAACATAAATTCTGCCTGTCGGTACTTGGCAGCAATTAAAAAAGATAAACAACAAAAAAAAGATGAATAATGGCTAATTTATCTTCATCTGATAGATGGCGCCTGACAGTGCTCCTTGCTGTATATACAGTATATTTATTCGGAATCGAAATATGGCCTTATTTGCAGCATGAATTCGAAAAATAAGTTTATTTTGAATTTTAATAAACTAAACGTTCACCAAAAAACTTTAGTGAGAAAAATCGAAAAAACGAACTACAAACATATTAACGCCAAACATTCGGTAGAATTTATAGAACATTGTAAATATATATATATATATATATATAAATTCTCAAAGCAGCAGGTGAAAGTTTTAAAATCAAAACGAAATAAAATGAAACCGTGGATAAGCGATGAAACATAAAACCTTGTAGAAGAAAGAAGAAGTTTGAAAATGATAAAAAGACAGAGTGAAGAAAATAAGATGAAACACAAAGAAGTCTGCCAAAAAATAAAAGAGAGTGCTAGAGCAGATAAAAGGAGATGTATTAATGGTAAATGTGAAAAGGTGGAGACGATGATTGGGCAGAACAAGACAAGAGAGGGTACCAGCTGGTTAAACAGTTAAAAGGAAAACAGAAAAGTATGTCAAGGATTATTAAAGATAAAAACGGAAACATCCTAACAGAAAGTAAAAAGATTAAGGATAGATGGACTGAATATTTAAAAGGAAATGTATTAATGGTAAATGTGAAAAGGTGGAGACGATGATTGGGCAGAACAAGACAAGAGAGGGTACCAGCTGGTTAAACAGTTAAAAGGAAAACAGAAAAGTATGTCAAGGATTATTAAAGATAAAAACGGAAACATCCTAACAGAAAGTAAAAAGATTAAGGATAGATGGACTGAATATATTAAAGACTTATTCACAGACAAGAACACATGCAAAAAAGAAACGCTTGAAATTTTGAAAAGCAGAAAAATAATCAATGAAGAAGAAAGTGAAATAACGAAGGAAGAAATTACAAGAGCAATGAGTAAAATGAAGAACAACAAAAGTACAGGGAAGGATGGTATTCCGATAGAACTGATAAGAGCAGGAGAACAAGTCGTGTGTAAAGAAATTCACACAATCTGTCAAGAAATTTTGGAAAGTGGAAAGTGGCCAGAAGAATGGTGCTGGTTAGTTCTGGTTATGCTGCTGAAAAAGGGAGACCAAAAAGACTGTAATAATTACAGATCAATTGCACTAATTTCACACATATGCAAGATCATGCTGACCATCATAAAAGAACGATTGGAAAAGGTCATAGAGCAACATCTGCATGAAGAACAAGCAGGCTTCAGAAAAAATAAAAGCACGATCCAACAAATTCTGATGTTGAGACTGCTGATGAAAGATTCAAAAAGTAGCGGTCAGACAATTTACCATTGCTCTGTTGATTTTAAGAAAGCGTTTTATTCTGTCTGGCATGAAGGTTTGTGGGCGACATTAGAAAATATGGGGACATGAAAAAAGCTGGTCAAAGCACTGAAAGGGCTTTATAAAGAATCAAAATGTCGCTAATAATAGGTAGAGAACTTGGGAATTGGATAAAGGCAGACATTGGAAGCAGACAGGGCGATCCAATATCACCAATACTGTTCATAGCATTGTTAGAAAGAGCAATGGAAAAAATAGAAAATTCGGAATTGGGTGGAATAGACATAGGAAGAAGAACTGTCAAAGATCTCAGGTTTGCAGACGATATAGACCTTCTAGCTTCTAATGAAGAAGGTCTACAGAAACTAATTAAACTAAAACATGTTGGTGGAAAAGATTACGGGTTGTATATCAACAAAGACAAAACGAAGGTGATGATTATGGGGAAAGGCAGAAACAATGTGGAATTTCAGATAGAATCAGAAAAACTCGAACAAGTAGATCAGTTTGTGTATCTTGGCAGTCTTATAACCTGTGACAACAACTGCACCAAAGAAATTGACAGAAGGATAGCAATAGCCCATGGAATGTTCGCATCATTGAAGGAAATATGGAAAAGTGGGAATATATCTATAAAAACAAAGTTGAGAATGATAGAATCTTGCGTTTTTTCGAGCTTGCTCTATGGATGTAAGACATGGACAATAAAGAAAAGAGACAAAGACAGATTTGAAACATTTAAGATGAAGTGTTACCGAAATTTTTTTGGAATCAGTTGGAGGCAGAAAGTAAAGAACGAAACCATCAGAAATCAACTTGGAAAACAGAAAAGTGTATATGAAAAAATCAGAGAAAAAAATTGGGATTTTTTGGACACATTTGTAAGATGAGAGAAGACAGATTGATTAAGATGGTACTAATAAGGAAAAGAGATTGGAAGAAAAAAGTTGGTAGACCTGCAAAGAAATGGGGAGATGGCATTACTGAATGGACTGGTGTTGATATTCTGAATTCAATAAAACTGGCCAAAGATAGAAAAGGTTTTTGGAAAGAAAAAATAAATGTTAAAAGCATGCTTAAATGTACGCCATCGGCCTCGAAGATCCCCCGATGGACAAAGGAGGATCATTGGTTGATTGATATATATATATATATATATATATATATATATATATATATATATATATATATATATATATCAATCAATCAATCAATATATATGTATGTATGTATGTATATATGCATGCTGGTAAAAGTCCATAGTTAATGCAGTAATTTATGAACTACAGAATTTCCAGCGTTGGATAGTTTTTTATTACACTTCTCAGTATTTCGAACCAAGTTCTTGTCGTTATTATTTATTTTATTAACGTTAGAATATCAACGATCCCCCGATGGACAAAGTAGGATCATTGATTGATATATATATATATATATATATATATATATTTATTTATTTATTTATTTTTTATTTTCATTATAGAGGACCAAATAAGTTTAAAATTAACTTGTGGAGAGGCCACCCTTAACTAAGTCATTAATAAAAATAAGGTTCAAAGGTTTGAAAATTAAGTAACTCAATTTCAGCGTTCAATGCATTCAAATACTATATCGAAATTTTATAAAAATGTTAACTCGAATGAAATACATTCAGATAATACTTCTGAACCAGTCAAATAATCAAAATAATAACGGACAGACAAAAACACACACGCACCACACATATGCACGCACAACACACACCCACACATCCATTCATATTTAAACAACAGCTATATATTAATGTATATAAATCGTTAGATCGTTAGATGGTGGTGTCGGGGTGAAGTAAGTAAAGCTGAGATCGCAACCTTTTTTTGAAGAGTTGCTTGTTTGTTATGTTATGAATGGCGTGAGGCACAAATAATTTCCAAATTTTAGGGCCAGTTGCTTTTAAACTTGTATATATATATATATATATATATATATATATATTTATATCAATCAATATATATGTATGTATGTATATATCCATGCTGGTAAAAGTCCATAGTTAATGCAGTAATTTATAAACTACAGAATTTCCAGCGCTGGATAGTTTTTTATTACACTTTTCAGTATTTCGAACCAAGTTCTTGTCGTTATTATTTATTTTATTAACGTCAGAATATTATACAGTTTTCCAATTCACTCTCGAGTGTATAGGACCTATTTCAATCATCTTCAACACTTGTTGCAGTTTATATAGAGAAAATTCTCTGTTGGACAAAGGATGTATTATATTATTTAACTATTGCACATGTAATGGTAACGTTGTCA